GCAGTTCAGCGGTTCAAATCTCACCGGCTCAGGGTTGACTCAGCCTTCCATCCTTCCGAGGTGGGTAAAATGAGGACCCCAGGCAATATGCTGACTCTGTAAACCGCTTAGAGAGGCCTGAAAGGCCTATGAAGCGGTATATAAGTCTACTGTTATTGCTATTGCTATTATTGCTACTTCACCAATATAGTATAAGCCCTCATTCCTTACCTTCACAGGAAAACTGTCCTGCCCAAATCCATCTAGTCGTTCCACTTCCCTGATGTAAAGCAATTCTGCTTCTGCTGCAGAAAGGTTGCTGCAAATAAAATTAACAGAAATATCATACAGGGTTATTGAAAAGGCCAAAGATTTTAACATCCTCTTTGCTTTGAATTTATTTTCTTAATCAATTTACATGGCTGCTCATCTTACAAGGGTGACTGTGGACAGCTAACTTTTTTTTTTAAAAAAAAGCCCTCTCATAATATAAAAAGAATAAAAAAATTGGTAACAGCTATTGGGGACAACATACAAGTAATCATTATCAAATTGTATTGGATAATTACAATATTCATGTATCTTCTGTCCATCAGCTTATCCAAATATTGTAAACACATGCTAAATCTGAGCAAAATCAAAGGAAATATTATAAGGGTGCAGATGCATGTAACCCAGTTTCAAGATGTCATTGAGTTAACTTCTATATAAGCTAGACGAGTATTTCAGTGTACTATGTGCCATTCATTCAGCAAATAGCTTTAGGCAGTCTACCACTTTACCCTATCACCTTATTAACAAAACATGTACTTCCCTTATAATCAGTAATTTGCATGAAAATTGACTAAAATCAGAAATGTTCAGCCAAAACAGGTCCCTATCACAGCAAAATTAATGATTTGCCCCAGAGTGGCCAAATACCTTTGAGAAATCTTGCAAGAAGAGCATCAGAAAAACTCTATGCCCTCATTGTTTCTTCCCTTAATCTTTTACAAGACTCATTTAACTAACATGACTGACATGGGAACAGACATTCTTTTCTTGAGACATGAAGTTCCAATCCACATAAAGTTACTACGTACGTTAGAAGACATAGCCTATTGATTAAATAGTAATTTATATTGACAGCAATGAAATATTAATAATTTGGGAATCAAACCTATGATTTCTGTGTTCCTGGACTACCTTCTGAATCAATTCTTCCAAAATGGCTTCATTTTGAACCAAATCCTGCAAAATAAAATGATAACAAAGCACTCTGTTTATTATGGGTAAAGGAATTCAAAGAATCAATGCCTTTAATTTGCTTTTATTTATGTATTTAGACAATTTGCATGCCCCCTTAATCACACAGCAATTCTAAATGGCGTTAAAAGATCAAGAAAATAACAGTTACAAACAAAAAGGAACAGACTCACTAAAAGAGTACAGGCTGCACAAAGGGGAGGTTAACAACACACACTATTCCTCACAAAACTATCATAAGGGAGTCTCAAAGATACTTTTTTCAAGAGGCAACTGGACGTTCTGGTTTTTCTTTGAAGACATAATGCTTTTCATCCAATAAGTTTCTTCAGCTGAAGAAGAGCTGAAGAAGCTTCTTGGATGAGAACTGAGACGTTTCCAAAGAAAAACCAGAAAGTCCAGTTTCCTCTTGAAAAAAGCATCTTTGGGACAACCATGACCTGGATGAAGAATCTCCGTAGATTTCATAAGGGAGCAGAGCCCTCTTATGCTACCCAAGTCTTTACAGAAGCCCAAATATCAGGGCCATATTGATCTCAACACCCTGTTCCACAGCACTACTACAGAGAGAAAGCATGTTACCTAAAACCCACAAGGCAAAGTGCTTCACATCTGGTTCCTGGCATGCCAAATCTTGCAGATCTTACCAGTTCCAGAGAAACAAGACAAAGACAGTCCTGTAAGTAACCAAAACCCAAGCCATAAAGGGCTTTATGGATTAAACAAATATCCAAAATTCCACCCAGAAGCCCACCAGTAATCAGCAGAGCTCATAGGAAAATGGTATTATGTGGATGAAATGAGAAAAGTCAGTAACTGCTCATGAGACTGCCTTTTGATTGAACCAGCTGTAGTTTCCAAGTAGTCTTCTCCCCATCCAGATTCATCGCCTCCATGCAAAATCTCCACAGCATCATTTATTCAGCTTAGAGTTGAGATGGAAAATTGTGTATCCTATGCATATTGGTGTTAACTTTGTTCCAGTAGATCAGGAGTGTCAAACTCAAGGCCCATTGGCCATATCCAGCCCACAGGGTGCTTAGATCTGGCCTGTGGGCTCACCCTGAGAACAACAAAGGACCAGCCCGTGGTGCCTCTGCCAGCGAAAATGCAGCCCAAGAGGGCCGCATACAGCCTCCCCAGGCTCTGTTTTCACTGGCAAAGGGCTGCAGGAGGCTGTAAGGATTGAAAACGGAGCCCCTGCAGGCCGTGTGCAGTCTCCCCAAGCTCCATTTTCACTGACAGGAGGCTGATGGAGGCTGTCACAGCTGAAAACAGAGCCTCGATGAATAACATGGAGCTGGTCACGCCTCCCCAGCATCAAACATAACCCTCAATGAAATTGAGCGGTCCTCAATGAAATCGAGTTTGACACCTATGCAGTAGATAATCTTGCCCAGCAGCCTTTTGTGTATGTTGAATACTGCTTATTCAAATATAACATCTTATGCCAAGTTTATGAAAATAAAGTTTACGGGCTTCATTTCTGTGATGGAACAAAGAGTTCAAGTTTTAAGGAAACTTTACTGCAATCAATTATTGGTTTGTGTAACTGTCTTTCATTTGCTCCCAAGAAACAAAATGATTCAGTTACATACTCTAACACAGTTACAATAAATCAAACTTTCTAATACATCAGGATCCATTTGGGAATGGTAGAAGAGTGAAGAAAATATTCAAATATTCAAAAAGTTAGAAGAGGAAAAACTTAAACAATACAAACAGGTCTACAAACTAACTGAACAAACATGAACTGTATCACTTCAATGCAAGGGACAAAGAGCTCTTCCTTGAACAAAATGCTGAAGATAAACTCATCTTTCCTGATAAACATTTTATGAAGGCATCAGAAAATCTTACTCCACAAATAACTAAGACAGACACTTTAAATTTAGCCATACATTTGAAAGCCATCTGGCTTTAAATAACTATATACTTATTTGTACCCCAAAACAATCTTTAAAGCAGTGTTTTTTCAAAGTGGGCAACTTTAAGATGTATGACTTCAACTCCCGTAATTCATTAACCAGTATGCTGGCTGGGGAGTTCTGGGAGTTGAAGTCATGCATTTTAAATTGCATGACTGTGAAAATCAGACAAAGGCAGAAGGAAATCAATGTACTTTAAAACCAATCCTCTTAAGCCATGCTTGTTGCAAGGCAAACCAGCAACTGCTATCACAAGGCATTAACCATTTTACTGGGAAAACAGGAAATTGCTTTAGATCATCTCATATGGTTGGCCCAAATAGCTCAATAAAGATTTCAGATTTGAGATTTATTAGATTTATATGCCGCCCTTCTTCCAAGGACTCAGGGCAGCATACAATTAAAAGAAACACATAATATAAAAGTTAAAAAAAATTAAATGGAATATCCCAAACCCAATTAAAATTGACAATACATTTTTTTGCTGTAAAAGCCAACTTTTTAGGGCGCGTCGGAAGGTCTGTACCAGTCTTCTCTAACCTGGCATGCTCTAGTATGACAGAAATCTTGGCAGATTCTAACTATCCAAAATAGACTAGATTGCAGAATACTAATTTGCAGATCTCCAGAACTTTGAAGAGGTTCTTTCTCAACTGTACTTCATAGAGGTAAAGGACTAGAACCTGGCAATTGTTCTCACTAGGTTGTAAACAATGCTCCTGCACATGATAATTTATTTCTAAAACTAAATATATCCTACAGTAAAAAAGCACAAAAAATTATAATAGCTTATTAATAGTGAACTGACTAGAACTTCCAACATTGGGGGGGGGGGGGGGGAAGGAGAGAATGTGGAAGATCTTTTTTTAATTGCTGGTCATATATGACCA